CCGTTTCGCCGCGGCTCGTCAGTCCCTGGACTGCGGCTGATTTTCTGTTCCCTGTGAAATCTCAAGGGCTGATTTTCATCTGGCTCTGGGGGGGGAGGGTCCGAATTTCTCGCAGCACACAAATGCCCTGTGCCCGCACGGAGCCTCAGTGTCCTCTGGCAGGTGTCACTAGGCGGCGCTGTCACACAACGCTTGCCACCGTCTTTCTATAGACTGGATCTGGCCCTAGGTCACAGTCCGCAAAACCACCCAGTGGAGCTGTGATTGCCCTCTTGCAGGCCTGGGGTGGATGAGAGGACTGAGTGGGGGGTGTTATCCCTTCTGTGTTGCTGGTGATCAGGGCCAGATTAAGGGAGGGGCTAGCCCGGTAGCTGCCCAGAGCGTCAACCTATGGGAGGCGCCTGATAGCAGCTGTTAGGGCACCGTGCACCTGCCCATGTGGCGCCCCTTACAGCTGCACTCAGGCACCGCACGGCCAGGTGCACGGCGCCCCTGACAGCTGTTCCCGATTGCAGCTGTAAGGTGCTCGGCACGCCGGGGGGTGGGGCCTCGCATGCGTCGTGCGCCCGCTGCCCGGGGCGCAGGAATAGCTCGAGCCGGCCCTGCAGGTGATCCCCATACCCCAGTGTGCAGGCAGAGCTCAATAAGGGCTCGGAGGACACGTGTTTGCAGCCAGACTGACCCTGCTGGGGCTCATGAACACTTGAAACTTTAGGCCAGTGAGTCCAGAGACAGACTCTGAAACCACTACTTGCTTAACTATGGAGCCTCAGCTAACTTACCACGGAGCCCCTAACACTGTAACAATGGAAGAGATGCCAGTGTGGGTTGCTCAGGTATCCCTTCTCCATCTCGCAACCGTGGTACAAGATCCATCGCAGGGAGGCACTTCTGTCCCCAGTGTGCTTTCGGATCTCATGCACAGGATTCTCTCTCTGAGCATCTCTTCCTTTGGATGTTCACAGACTCGGAGATTCCGCTCCGGCTGGCGAACGGCTCGAGTCGCTGTGCTGGGAGAGTGGAAGTGCTACACGATCAGCAGTGGGGGACCGTCTGTGATGACGACTGGGACTTAACCGATGCTGGAGTCGTGTGCAGGCAGCTGGGCTGTGGGACGGTGCTATCAGCCCCAGGGGCGGCTCAGTTTGGACAAGGCTCTGAGCGTATCTGGCTGGATGACATTAACTGCAAGGGGACAGAAGCTGCCCTCTCCGAATGCACGGCCCGGCCCTGGGGAGACAATAACTGTAACCATGGAGAAGATGCGAGTGCCGTGTGCTCAGGTAACTCTCATCTATGTCACCTCTCACCAGTAGTCCCTGTCCGTGTCCAGCAAAGGCCCCAAAGGCAGGTTTCCGGCTCTGAGCCCTGTCTCTTTCTCCCTCTTGGCTGGGCTATTTCCATGTCACAAGGCCCCTCTCCCCCATGTACACCATGATTTTCACCACCAAGGGAGACTGGCTCCCTAGGCTAGCCCCTTTCCCCTCCGACACCCCATTACAAAGACAATTTCCTCCACCTTTGATATTTGCATTTGCACATCAAATGCTGTGAAAGAGACACATCTAGCCTGACTTAATTAGCTTCATTAACATTGGTCCTACAATTTTGCTATTATGTATAAAATCATAGAATATAGAATACTAGGACTGGAAAGGACCTCGAGAGGTCATCGAGTCCAGTCTCCTGCCCTCATGGCAGGACCAAATACTGTCTAGACCATCCCTGATAGACATTTATGTAACCTACTCTTAAATATCTCCAGAGATGGGGATTCCACAACCTCCCTGGGCAATTTATTCCACTGTTTACCACCCTGACAGTTAGGAACCTTTTCCTAATGTCCAACCTAAACCTCCCTTGCTGCAGTTTAAGCCCATTGCTTCTTGTTCTATCCTCAGAGGCCGAGATGAACAAGTTTTCTCCCTCCTCCTTATGACACCCTTTTAGATACCTGAACACTGCTATCATGTCCCCCCTCAATCTTCTCTTTTCTAAACTAAACAAACCCATCTCTGGCAAGCTGAGCAAAGGGTTTTATTTCTTTCTCTATCTGTGGCCGAATCTGCTTTCTTGGACCCTGGTTGGTTTTTCACCAGAAAACCAAATGCCCCAAAATATTTTGGGGTTGGAAAATTTTCAGCAGCCAAAGCCTCATATTCTTCCGTCCCGCTTTTCCGGTGACCAGTTCTTTGGTGAAAAGTTCCAACCTTATTGCTGAACGTGTCAGTGGGAATCCATTTACATTTTCCACCCTGAAAAATTCCATTCCCTGCCCTGCCCCAGAGGGCACCTTGTTCAAGCCCCCCAGGGCCTCAGTGGATTCAGCCAATGCTCTGTTCTGCCCTGTCCCCAGGACTCCCCTGGGAGCTGAGTGATTCACATTAGCCCAGAGGCCTGCGTGGGAATGTGCAGGCCTGGCTGGAGCACCCGGCATAGCTAACAGTGTGACCCACACGCTGTGACCGGAGGAGGCCGGCACAGAGGGCTCCTGGTTAAGCTGATTGCTGCCCTGAGAGGCTGGCTCAGGGACACAGAGGCGCCCAGTAACCCCATACAGAAAGGCTGGTTCAGGAGGACACCGAGCGCTGCTCAGGACGGAGGCAGATGAGAAGGGAGCGGATACGGAGGGTCATTGGAACTGGCGGGTACAAGGAGAAAGGCTGGTGAGCAGGGCTGTGTGATACCATCTGGGGTGGGACAGGCGACTGCTTTGTACCAGTGTAGAAAAGGGGACGTCGTGGCAGAGGCGCCTTTGTGCCAGGCTAGACCCAGCCCTGGGTTGCTGCCCCGACCGGCCCCTTGCCCCAGTCACACGCGGGTTAGTGGCTCGGTAGCTCCCATGGGCACGAGGCCTCGGCTTTGTGGACAATAACGCCGGCCAAGCCCCTTTGCCCCCGACTCAGCCTCTGCTCGTTCCTACAAGTAACATGGAGCTGGGCAGCCGGCACAGGCTGCTCCCCCTGCTAGAGGGGCTGGCATTGGAGCTGTGAGACCAGCAGCGCCAGCAGCAGCACCAGGGACCAGAGCTGATAATGGAGCAATCACAGAAAAACATGGGGCTCAGGAAACGACTTCAGGGACCAAGTAACCCTGCACCAGGGGTTCTCAGCCTGTCTCCTCTCTGAGACCCCTCAACATGCAGACTGCCGGGGTCACAAAGAACCGGGGCGAGGGGAGGCAGGTGCCCGGGGCCGGGAGGGGCCGCAGGCTCAGGGATTCCCCCTCTGCATCCAGCCAGGGCCCCCAAAGTCAGATTTAGAGCTCCTGAGCCATCGCTGCTCTTGAGTGGAGAGCCCTGTCTCTCTCCCTCCCTGATGGGTTATTTCCATGTGACACAGCTCTTTAAGCATACCTTGATTTTCACCACTGGGGAGTACGTTGGGCTTCTGATCAGACGCTTTGCGGGGAGTGGGGCAAACAGCCTGGTTTGGGTGGAAGTGCTACACGATCAGCAGTGGGGGACCGTCTGTGATGACGACTGGGACTTAACCGATGCTGGAGTCGTGTGCAGGCAGCTGGGCTGTGGGACGGTGCTATCAGCCCCAGGGGCGGCTCAGTTTGGACAAGGCTCTGAGCGTATCTGGCTGGATGACATTAACTGCAAGGGGACAGAAGCTGCCCTCTCCGAATGCACGGCCCGGCCCTGGGGAGACAATAACTGTAACCATGGAGAAGATGCGAGTGCCGTGTGCTCAGGTAACTCTCATCTATGTCACCTCTCACCAGTAGTCCCTGTCCGTGTCCAGCAAAGGCCCCAAAGGCAGGTTTCCGGCTCTGAGCCCTGTCTCTTTCTCCCTCTTGGCTGGGCTATTTCCATGTCACAAGGCCCCTCTCCCCCATGTACACCATGATTTTCACCACCAAGGGAGACTGGCTCCA